AGGTCCTAAAATAACATTTAATGTAAAACAAAGAGAGGGCTCTGAGGAGCGAATGGAATCTTTACTAGATGTTGTGCAAGGTTCCAATCGCATGGCCCCAATTGTAGTTGGACAAACTCGTTTTTCCACATATTATCTTCTTTCACAACCATACTTCTCATTTTTTGGTTGTGTCGTTTCTTTGGACAATATTGAGCAATGTGTTTTGGTTCTTTGTAATACAAATATAATCCTTCTTCACGACGATGAGTCTTTTCTTGCTCAGTAAGAGATTTGAAACTTACTGCATCAATTTGCATATCCTTTACTTCCGAATGTATGTATTGAAGAGGTGTTGGTATTGCCATTGAATTATAGTAACGTTGAGGTCCACTTGTACGGTTCTCAGATCGAAATTCAAAAAGGCAATTGTTGCTCTTCATAGCAAAGTCAATTGCTTGACTCAATGTTTGAGGATCAGGTAAGTTTAGTATTAATTTTTTTACCTCATATTGTAATCCGTAGAGAAATTGGCTAATAAGTGCAGTATCAACCTACTTGATACCAGTTGTAAGTTGTTGAAATTGTGAAGCATACAACATTACTGATAAATTGCCTTGTCGTAAAATATGGATCTTATTGGTTGCAACACGAATTACATCATGTTTTCCATACATGGATCAAAACTTTGCCAAAAAAGCCTCTAGATTATCTAATATTGGATCTCGTCATTCAAGAAAAGATGAAAACCACGATAGTGCTTAACTTGAAAGAAGCGTACCAATGAATCTAACTTGGGATCTTGGAATTGGATAGCTTTGAGATTGAAGTTCAATCACAAGTTACACTTTATTGATAAATCCTCGAAACTTGGATCTGGTACCATCAAACTTTTTGGATAGGGCAATTCTTGGTTCTTTAACACTAGAAGGACGTTCCACCATAAGAGAAAGGACATGATTTGGTGTAGATGTTGAAGCAGCTCCAACCATTTCTATATCTTTACTTCCTGCTAATCTTGTTGCTCTTTGTGGTGGTAAATTGAGTTGATGCATCGCAAGCATTAACTCCCTCAATTACTCTTGCATTTGTGCCATTGCACTCTTCATTTCAACAAGTTCTGCTATGATAACACTTAGAAAAGAGAAGATGTCTAGTATCGCTCAAGACAAATAGAAGAGAGGAATTGAGAACAAGGAAAATACTAAGGACAATATCAATTTAGAAGAGAGTAATCCGCAACTTCTAATATGCTTATATCTTATCAAGAAAAAAGGATAATCCACTCTTAATCAAGATTAGACAAAGCTCTCATATTATAGGTGTACTCTTGTCAATTTGTCAAGAACAAGAACTTGATGAAAAAATAATTCAAAGAAGTGAGCCTTCACTCAAAGAAAGGTAACAAAATATAAATAAACAAGTATGTATATTGAAAGAGAAACTGGAATGGCTATTGCCAAAAGACAAGAAAACTAGAGACCCTTGAAACTAGACTGGAAGCAAGAAAGGAGTTGACAAGAGTGAAGAAGGCTTCACTCTTGTCTCTATATATACTATCTAAATAGAGGCTTTGTGGCGACGTTCTATAGAACCTCCAATATGAGTTGACTTTGTAGGACACATGCCTTGACTTACAACGCAAGTTTTTCTACATGTAGGCCACATAGTTAGCTTAGTCTTCAAGCTAACAACATGTGTCACACATGGCCAACTTATTGACCACGTTTTTAATCCAAAAAGTCAATTAAATACACCTATGAAGTCAAAGCAGCGTCTATGAAGCTTCAAGGAAGCTTTCATATCAAATACTATAGAATTAACTTACTTTTATCTACTTTTATTTACTTCTACCTATTTGTATATGTAATTACTGGCTTACATGAGTATGTCCATGACAGAATAAGACCATTATTAAATATTGCACAAGATTTTAGGAATATGGTCTTTATTGTAGTTGGAAAAAATTATTTTTTAATATAATATCTTTTTTTACAACCATGCTCTTCAATTTTTGATTGTATTGCTTCTTTGAATTTTTTTGAATAATATACTTAGTTTCTCTATAAAATAAGTACAATATTTTTTAATGACATTAAATCTTTTTTGCTCAATAAAAACTTTGAAACATATTATATCAATTTGCATAAGTTCAAGGCTTAATGAATATTTTTTTAAAAATTTTGACTTCATTTTTTCCTCTCTATCCAAATATTAATTCATGGTGTCTTTCAAAAAGTTGTTTATCATATGTAATGACTTCAACAATAAACTATTTTAATGAATTTGTTTTTAATATTGTCAATAATAAATCTTTGACAATATCTTTCAATCCATATTAAAATTTATTGATAAGAGTTTTTTCATCCCAATTCATATCACAAGCAAGATTTTGGAATTTAATAATATATATGATAATTAAACATGATCATTGTTGTAAAAAAATAATTTGATCTTTGCTATTTTTTTTACTCATTTTTTCTAAATGTGGCCATAGATACTTTTAAGAATGAATTTAGGTCATATAAGAATTATAAATCATTTTCTATTAAAGGTACAAATTAAAAAAAATACTTCTAAAGATGAATGTGCTTATGAATCCAACTTGAGTAAATCCATAAAGAGATTGGAAAAGATGCAACCTTAGATAGAACTTAACTTATTGTAGAAATCATTAATTTTTTTATCTTATTCCATCAAACTTCTTAGGTATATTAATCCCTATTTTTCTCATACTCATAGTAGCAAGACTTCTTAGGTATATTTATAATGTTGATCTATTTCTTTCTCTCAATTCAATAACTTCTTAGCATAGATATTAAACTTGATTATTGATTTCTTCCATGTATGTAGGAATAGTACTTCCATAGTTAACATTATTAATACATGAAAATTTTAGCCAAAGAGTATTAAAAAGCTCTTGAAGATCTACAATAGTTTCAAATCTATTCTCATTTCCACCAAATATGGCATTTATAGTTTTTTTAATATCTTTTTAACAAAAAATATCAATAAATCTACAATTCAAATTAAAAGAGGGTAATTTGTAACTTCTAATATTAAATAAAAAATTCCACAAAGATGAATATTCTATTCTTTTTTTTTAATAACAAATCAATGTTAAAAAATAAAAAATCTTGAAATAAGATTAATAAAAAAATATTTACCTAGATTGATTTTTAAAATTATATGATTCTTTGTCTTTTTATTTGATTTTACTAATATATTATGATTAAATTATATCAAAAATTATATCGAAAATTTGAATGAATATACATATATGTAACAATATTACATAGAAGTAACTACTTAAGTTGATTCTTCAATAAAATAAATATTAACCAAGTTCTTTCTAAAATGTAAGTTGGAGAAATCAAAATAAATCCTATAAGTTTTAAAAAAATTGTTTTTCCTACATTTGTAGTTTAGTTTATAAAATAAACTTCGTTTAAATATAAAAAAAATGAGATACTGGATAACATTCAATCTATTATTATCATTACTATTATTTGTCTATACATATAATATGTGTTTTCTTGTATATACATGTATACAATTTGTCTGTATGTGCTTGAAGTAGTGACTTGGTCTGTTGTCTTTAAATAATAAGTATATCTCGATCTTCATTTTAGTTTTAATTCGATTTTTTGTTTCATTTTATTGAAGATGTTTTTGTTCATTTTTAACATTTATTAATTTATTTTTATTTCATTAATATTGCAAACTGTGCAACTCAAGCTAATTATCAAGCTAATTATTTATATTGGTCTTAACTTATATGTTAGAAGAAAATATATTCTTAAAATCAATCTTTATTTTTTATTTTTTATTTTTTTAAAATCATAATAGTTATAACAAAAAAAATAAACAAAAAAAGGATGGCCTCTCTCAATTTTAAAAAGATATTGCTTAAATAAGATTAGCATTTTGGCTATTAAGTTATTTCTAATTTTAATTTAGATATTACCATTTTTATTTTATATAGTTCTTTCATATATTAGTAGTTTTGTTTTTTCACAAACTTATTTGTCAGTGTTCAAAATATCAAATTGTACTGTAGACAGTACACAATAATGTTGGAAGATGTTTCTATTTTTTTGGTTTATCTGTTTTATTTGTTTTATTTATTTAGTGAAATACACATGCGTCATTTTTTTCTTTCTAATAATTATTTTATAGAAACCTGGTGCAATTTTTATGACTGAGAGTTTGTACCTAAACATTGCCATAATATGTTTGATAAAATACTTAATGAATCAAACACAAGTCTATCCAAACCATTTTAAAGTTAAACAAACAATACAAGTTAATAAAATGAAAATATAATTCATATTATTATTCAATATTTTATGAAAACAATAGTAGAAGTCGTGTTTGGTAAATAAACATTTTGTATATATATATATATATATATATATATTCAAAGTCCGGAGACTAGAAAAAATGAATTTGGATAAACAAATTTTTTCTTTATCATGTACTTTCAAAGTTTGTAATATGTGGTATTGTATGGGAAATTTAAGCTAATATTTGTCCTGTAAGTGACTATGCATGCAAATGAAATTTATAGAACTACATTAATGTCCTGTTCATATTCTGTTATCTATTATATAATTTAACGATGCATCATATGCACAATCCCATAAAATTTAATTTTAAAAATAAAAATCAATAAAAAGAAAATTATAAAAGTCTTAAGCTCTCAATTTGAGACATGGAAAACCATAACTTTCACTTTAACTCCCCGCGAACTTTAAAGGTAACGCTGGGGTCGTCGTCACCTCCGTCGTCTCCGTCATCGTCGTCACCACCTCCGTCGTGGCAGCCATACCTCCGTCGCCGCCGTCGTCATCGTGGTCGCGATAACCGTGGTCTCCGTCCCGGTCCCCGTCGTCGCGGGGACAGTGGTGGCCCCGAGCGAGCAGCAAGCAAAGCAGGGGAATGCTCACGCGTCCGCGCTGCAGCACCAGCACCAGCAGCAGAGTAGCAGTAGCAGTAGCAGTAGAGTAGACGACACCCGACGATGCTACGCGATGATGCGATGCCTGCGCTGCCCCGCCCTGCCCTCTGCTACTGATGCCCACTCTCTCTCGCTCTCTACATCTACAATCCCCCTTTTCCCGTTTTTTGTTTGTTTGCTGGTGCGCCACTCGGCTTGCCCCCTTTACATCTCTTCTCCACTCTGAATCTTGCTCTTCCCCCCCGCAATTTGCTTCTCTCTCTCTCTCTCTCTCTCTCTCTCTCGCGTTCTGATTATATCTCGGCTAGTGTCCGTCGTGTTGTGTGGGGTGTTGTATCAAGTCTCTCTTCTCTTCTTCGTCTCGCACCGAGATTTCGTCATGGATGAAGAGTATGACGTGATTGTACTCGGCACTGGCCTCAAGGAATGTATCCTCAGTGGACTTCTCTCTGTCGATCGTCTCAAGGTGGTGCCTCTTCCTCGATCTGAACCTTTTATAGGTTTGCAGATCAGTGTTTTTGTTTGTTTGTTTTGTTTTTATTTCCTTTCTCTTCTTCTCCTTAGGTTGTAGTGTTTTGTGATGCAATCGTCCTTCGATTGTTGTTATTTTGGTGGATTGTGAAGGTGGGGCGAGGTGTTTCTGGTAGGCAGACCTAATCGTGGGTAGTATGAGGGATTGTGTGGGTTTATGGGGGGTTGCCAACTTTGAGTTAGCTAGCGAAGATGGCGATGGGAATCAGGGAATTGCCGCTGGCGGCCATACAGTGGGTTGGATTCTCTACAACTGGATGGGTAGTGAATTGCGAAGGGTGTGAGAGAGGAGTGGTGAAATTAGTATTTTGAATCTGTTTAAGGGTGCGCGTTCTGATGATCGCTGGATGATCCTGTGGGATGGTGCAGGTGCTTCATATGGACAGGAATGACTATTATGGCGGAGCTGCTGCATCATTGAACTTGAACCAGGTGAGAATGATGTGCTAGCCTCTTGTCTCTTGCTCAAATTCGTGCACAAGTAACGGTGAGGTTTTCTCCTCGTTATTTCGAGTGTCACATGCTGCTGTTGAACTTCTTAGTAAGTGTTCTTTAGTTGATAGGTTTTCCTTCTCAGCCTGTAGTCACGGTGCTATCACGGCATGCTTCAGTAAAGGGGCCGCTGATCGTATTGTTAATTCTCTTCACAAGGTTCATTTTCCCGTGAGGTTAGCACGGTGGGTTAGTGTGAGAAAATATAATTTGATCAGGTCTTGCTATTGATTCATTTATTTGCGTAAAGAGAGCACTGAATGTTAATGAAGTTTTTGGCCCCAAGTATTTTACTGTTAAGGTTTAGCGAAGATTTTAACTGAACACTTGCTGTGAGTGATCAGTGAGCTACTCTGATCTTCGGTGATTTTTGGGCAGTATACGCGTTTTTTAAATGTTAATTTTGAGAATTGTTCCTACTTGAACTATCAAGTTAAAAACCTGCTTAATCCAGTGTGTGGAGAATGTTGATCGACACACCATGGTGTCAACCATGAGCAGAATTACACTGGTCTTGTTTCAAACTTCGCTAATCTCCTTCCCTCTTTCTCTTTACGAAGATTTTAATCTTTATGTAACCATCACATGTGGTGTGGCAGTTGTGGAAAAAATTTAAAGGAGATGAAAAGCCTCCAGCCTTCCTGGGGTCAAGCAAGGAGTATAATGTGGACATGGTCCCCAAGGTGAACTGGGCATGGATGTGACATGTGTTTGTGGGCACAAAAGTGATTCCTTCAAATTTTGTGTCTTGTAATGGTTTTGAATGTTCGCAACAAACCGAGATGAAAGTTTCCTTCAAGTTTTAGTAGCGTATATTCGAGTCACAGCGACGGTTTTTTAATTTTCGTTGTCTCTCGCAGTTTATGATGGCAAATGGCACCCTTGTGAGAGTTCTCATCCACACGGATGTCACAAAATACCTACTGTTTAAGGCTGTGGACGGCAGCTACGTCTATAAGCAGGGAAAGGTGCGTCGTTGCATTCTTGTTGAAGAGTTTATGTCCATAATTTGAGGCATTCTTGAGTTCCTTCGTCCCTCTTAATTGGATGCGTTCTTTGCCTATCCTGGACCTATCTTTTGAAGGTTTTACTAGTATATGCATATAACCTCTCAAGGTAATCTGAAGGCTGTCGATATGATTTTAGAGCTGGCTGTGCTAGGTCATCTTTCCATTGTCTGCCTATTATTATTAACTTGTGTTCATTCTTTTCCGTTTCCATAGGTGTACAAAGTTCCATCTAATGACGTGGAAGCATTGAAGTCTCCTTTGATGGGGCTATTTGAGAAGCGGCGTGCTAGGAAGTTTTTCATCTTTGTCCAGAACTACGATGAGGCAGATGCTAAAACACACGATGGAATGAACTTGCAGACAGTTACAACGAAAGAACTATTCGAGTATATTACCTTATCTAATATTGACTTCTTTTTCATACTGATTTTGTGGATAACCATTCTTGAGAGCTTTGTTTCTTCGTAGGAAGTTGCTGAGAATAGCAATAGTCGGATGGTTTGTGGTGTGGTCATTCGGAAAAATTGTGAGCGATTTTACTCCTTTCTGAATCTTACTGCACGAATTGTTATGCAGGAAGTTTGGTCTCGATGCCAACACAATTGACTTCATTGGGCATTCTTTGGCGTTGCATCGTGACGATCGTTTCTTGTCTGAGCCAGCGTTGGATACAGTGAAGAGAGTGAAGGTATGCCTTTATTTCCTGCTAACACACTCCCTGTTATAGCTCATTCTGTTTAATCCACACGTTATCTTCACAAGATTTTTATCAGCTCTACAGTTTTGTTCGCTACAACCTGAGTTGTCTTTTTTTTCTTGGTGCAGTTGTACGCAGAGTCAATGGCCCGGTTTCAAGGAGGATCACCTTACATCTATCCACTCTACGGCCTCGGCGAGTTGCCACAGGTTCGCGTTTAGTTTGATTCAGTTTTTATGATGCTGCCTGTTAGTAAGTGTTCCTTACAGGCAAGATGTGTCGCCTGTTCCTGTACACCGAAATATGTTTGAAGGTTGGCTTGGAAGGGCTGGTTAATATTAGTCTCCTGTTTAAAGCTAGTCCGGTCAGTAGTGTGGTAGGGTTGAAGCTCTGAATTTTTCGGTATGACTATTGTTTTAGGAAATCAGGATTCTGGAGTAGGAGAAGTCAACTGTACCAGTTGTGTGCTTGGGGAATGTCTCACGCCGATGCCCATTCTGATGTGTGTGTGTATACCATAATATGATTGACAGGGATTTGCTCGTCTTAGTGCCGTGTACGGAGGCACCTACATGCTTGCCAAACCTGAGTGCAAGGTAAACATCTGGTTCTGATGCTGAAGTTTTCTTGCATCGTCTGCTTTTCCTAGACATCATGCAGTTATTGTGACATTCCATTGGTTCATTCACGAATTCTGATTTGTTTGAACTTGACTCATCCAACAGGTAGAATTTGATGAAATGGGTCAAGTTATGGGGGTTACTTCCGAGGGGGAGACCGTGAAGGCCAAGAAAGTTGTTTGTGATCCATCGTATTTGCCCAATAAGGTAATTTGCTGATTTGAAGGTCCTTATTAGCACTGTGCCTATGGCTTTGTAGACTATATCACGGCGAATCATCTAACGTGTCCACCTTTGTGAAACATGGGATGCCGTTGCTTTCTCAGGTCAAAAAGGTTGGGAAGGTGGTGCGTGCTATCTGCTTCATGAGCCACCCAATTCCAAATACCAATAATTCTGACTCCGTTCAAATCATTCTGCCACAGAAGCAACTTGGCCGCAGATCAGACATGTAAGCCGTGTACTTTTGGTTTGATTTTAAACAGGAGGAGATGTCCAATTATTTGGGTTCCTGTAAAATTTGAATCGAGGTTGACCTGTTTATAATCTATCATGCTTCTGGCTCGACGTGAATTTTTTCAATGATTTTAATGTCTAACTTTATATTTGCCATATCAACTGTTAATGGAACGATGTAATGTTCTGGGCTTGCTGGCAGGTATGTGTTCTGTTGCTCTCACTCTCACAATATAGCTGCAAAAGACAAGTACATCGCATTTGTTTCAGCAGAAGTGGAGACGGACACTCCGGAAGCTGAGCTGGAGCCAGGGCTTGCACTTCTTGGACACATTGATGAGAAGATAATTGACATGTACGACATGTATGAGCCAGTCAATGATCCCTCACTCGACAACTGCTTCATTTCTAAGGTATCAACTATTCATCATTTATTTGTGAATATGACTCAGCTTGTCTAGTAGGCTACTTCTCAATTTGGATACTCTTTGTGTCACCCTAGAAGGTATGATATTGCTTTGCAATTGTTGTAACTTTCCACTCGACATGGTGTCGAATGGTTTTCAGCTTGTCTCTTTGATTATGTTCAATGGCATTGCACTTTATCTGATGAGCATTGGCAAGTAATTCTAAAAAAATCTTTAGAAGAAGATGCATAGGTTTTTAATTCCTGGTGTGTGTTACAGAGCTACGATCCTACTACCCACTTTGAGACGACAGTTCAAGATGTACTTTCAATGTATACAAAAATTACTGGCAAGGTTAGTTGTTTCATCAGTCCTCATCGTTGTAAAATCAGCATATATTTAGCCAAGACTTAGTACTCTCAAGATCTTATATCTGCATATTTCATATTACAGCCAACTGACATTTGTAGCACCATGAAATTCCCGCTCTATTTTAGGGGAATGTGACCCCAGTTTGGTTTCATACATCCCATATTATATCAGAAGCATAATTAAATGGACTTATTAAAACAGGGTCGTATCTTCTTAAACACCATTCTACCTAAATAGACACTGATAATTGTTTTTTTTTTTTTTTTTTTTTTTTTTCAAAGTATTGCCAGTGTATCTGACGTGGTTATTCTATAAACATGACATTTGGATCGTTGACATGACGGCTTTCGTGGATGACTACAGAACCTTGATCTGAGCGTGGACTTAAGTGCAGCAAGCGCTGCTGAGGAGTAGAGAGATGGGTGTTTCATACAAGGTATTTTCTCCAGTGGACCAAGGAGTGCCTCTAAATACCCCAAACTCAATTGTTAAATACTTTTGTGAAAGGCGGTTTACATTTACATGTTTTTCCAATGACGTAAGCGGAAAAATCTTTTCCGCAAGCCATCATTATCATTCGACATCGTTTATCGTAGTGACCATCGGTTTTTCTTAAATGGATGCAAAGGAAATTTCCTCACTATCAAGTTTTGAATCTTGTTGGCACATCTGCGTTAATATGGTTACACGCCTCCTTGGCAACTATCACTTTCATGTGATTATAGATGCAGTGTTAACTCGAAGCTAGATGTGATAAGCAGTGGGCCCATCATTGCCTTTCCTGTGGAAATGAATGCTTCTCAACCTTCTTCCATCACTTATGTTATCTACAAAAGAGCAGCTCTTAAAAGGTTTTTGAAAGATTTCTTATGGTAAAATTAACTAGAAAATCTTGAGCTACATTCCCTGTGGAGATCGGGTAGAACAGACCTTAATATTTATACAGGGTTGTTGCAAACAATAACAAGATGCTCTTACGTATAAGGAAACAGATTATGTAACTGAAGCACTGGAATGTATCAAAGCTTTGTTCTTTTAAAATCACTAATTCCGTTGGGGTGGCAAATTGAGTATTATACTTTGGTACAAGTGTAGTATTATACTGTAGTATTACGTGGTGACTGTTTAGATGTTTACAGGTGTTCTAGTTGCATCAAAACAGAAATGATGTTTATCTTTAGAGAACAGGACTTCTTTATTATTATCGTAAGTAGGGAAATTTTATTGGCTACATGGTTCTGCAAAAACATTGTACTCAAATTATTCTAACTAAGCTTTTTACTGATTACTTAAGTAAATGTTTATACACCATGCAAAGTGTTATGTTCGACAACTTTCCCTTCTTTGTTTCTTTTTTATCTTATAAATACTGCATGATATTTTGATTTATTTTTTCTCTTCTTAATTTTGTATTCTTAATTTTATTGAGCGTGTTATTTAAGTCAATAGTAAAAAAAAACATGTAGAATACAAGAATTAAAAATTAAATTTAACACTAATATAAACATGTAAATGTCTTGTGTTAAATTGAACCTATATTCTAAGAGTACTACTGAATTTAATTCATTTCTAAACAGGCGCACAATAGTATACTCAATAATTAAAAGAAATATATGTCCATAAGCACACAACAAAAGAATAAAAGAACATAGACCAAATTTTTTTCAATATATGAAAGAATTAGAATAGGTTTAATGCTATTGATAAAAAGATTTATGTTTGAATGTCTTGGACTATCTCACAAGTTATTATATCCTAATTAGTTAAAAGTGTAATATATTGCATTAGATTATTTATAAAATAAAGTGGGTTTTGATCCGCAATTATAATAAGATGGCACAGTTCTTGAATTACTCCATCGTTCACTAATAATATATTTTGAAAATTTTAGTTTTTTTAGATTGAACTATTCACTTAAAATAGAGTCCTTATTATCTTACTGCACGTATATTAGATGTCCTTTATAAAAACAAATACTTAGTATTGAAACATACGACATTGTTGCTACTGTTACAAAAAGGACAAGAATATAAACATATTGTTAAATTTTTATTTTTATTTTTTAAGCCTTCTTTTTGGCCTGTGGAATGGTGTTTAGTGTATACATGCATATATTTGTTTTAAGATTAATAATAATAGGGTTTGCTTGCACATTATAAACATCACCTCTAACTTGGATCTCCATATTACGAACAATTGCAGAAAAATATCTTATTATATGAGCTAAAGGATGTACATGTAATAGATTGTAACAACTGGAAATAAGCTCAATTAAAAACAAACCTGTAATTCATCTCAATGTGGCCTTAATTTGTGCAAATAAAAAAAATATATATATATATATATATATACCTCATTAATATGCTTGCAAAGCTTCTAAATAAATCAATTGTAAAATATCTTTTGAGTTTTTTTTAAAAAAAATTAATAATAATATTAATTTGAAATATTTAAATAATGAACTAATATTTATTTAAATAAAATAAAATAAAATATAAAAACTTTATAGCATTTTTTTAAAAAATTGTTAGAGTTTAAGTTTTGAAAAAAGTTATATTTAATATTTTTACAGGGTAAGTTTTTTACTAAATTTGTGTATTTTAAAAATAAAAAAGACTTCATTTTACATATATAATAGTTATAAATTACAAATTTATATATTATATTTTTATTTACATTTATTTTCATGATTTTTTTTTCGTTTTGAAATATTATTTGAATTTAAAATAAATTGTAATTTTAATAGATGTAGACTTAAAACCACAGTCTATTAACATTTACAATTCATTTTTAAAACTAAAAACGTTTCTGATTTCATTTTTCTTAAAATTTTATCACAATGTTGCTTAACATCATCATATAAAATTGTAAACTTGGAGTATAATTCCAAAAACACGCACAAAGACAACTTCCACAAATCAATCAGAGGCAGACAATTATCCTAATTGCTTTAACACCCACATGGCTCTACTTTTCCCTCAAAAAAATTGCAAAAATACCAATCAGTAATTGAAGCCAGACAAAGTTCACTTTCATACAACTCAAAAGTTGGCTCTGAAAAGCATATGGCACATTTCTACTACATTGGCCTTATCAAACTTTGCCTCTGAGCTTAAATGGTCCTTGCTGGTACACACCTAAAATTTCAAGTGTTGGACGTGTGTAAAAGTGTTGGATCTAACTTGAACTTTACTAACGGAAAGAAAGAATTTCTCACTTTCTAGACCTTGAAACCACTTTCTACTAGGTGCAAATTGAGTACAATCTTAATAATGCAAAGCTTTACAGATGACCACCATCTCCAAAGAGAATGCAGTAGGGTCCATGGATTTGAAGTTGTGGCAGGGGAATGTGTAGAGGGCTTGCAGCAGAATGTGCAGCTGAACAAGACATTTGCCAGTGTTGGCAAAAACTAGTCTAGAGAAAACCTTTCGGATTCCGATCGTTGGTAACCACGATGCCATGTGTGTGTCGCAGCATCACAAGACTGGGCAGGAAAGACTACGCCAGTGCAAGGATCTGTACACTGATGCATGAGAGTGAGGCTCTTGAATAGAGCAAGACGAGATAATCTTTGGCACTGCTGTGGTTGCGCGGCTCACCGAGAGTACACTCAACACTAAAAAAGAGTGTTCCCTGTGGATACACCACAATATCCCTCAAAGTGAAGAGTTGGTTATGCCATCCGTTCGAAACTTCTTCAACCCGTGCTTCTTATACTATTGACTGGGCTCTATGCTGAATGTCGCATTTAGTCACGATTGTGAAGAGAGACTTGGAGGACATGATTGTTCCTCGCATCTGAATTGTTTTTGTTCTTTTCAGACATCACGTAACAGCTGGCGATGAGTTAACAATAGGAGTGTACGTAAAATACATCAAGTTCATATTCAAGTTCATGCAAATACCAAAAGGTATGTAATATGTACTGGAACTACACTGAACTAATATCGAAGAACTTAGCTCGTAAAACCAATTCGTATAGACGAATTAGTGGCAAGGGCCTCCATTCTGCCGCCGCTGACACTTACGGTGTCGATGTGGTTACCAAGACGAAGGCTCTGTCGGAGAGGAAATGACAAATTGCACTCGCTTAGAGCAAGTCCCATGCTCATGAGATGATGGAATCAGAGTGATGCTTTTTCTTCAGTCTCGGTTTCATGCTCCTTGGAAACTTCAGTATCATTCTCGACTCCATCCTCAACTGCATCCTTCTCATCACGCTCGGTTGTAAACTTTACTTCAGTCTCAGATTTGGGATCCTTCTCTTCTTCAACACTGTGTTCTGTAGCTCCACCTTCGGCACGGAAAAGCTCCTCTCTGTCCTCAGATTGATGCTTGGCATCATCCTTAATGTGATCCTTCTCTTCATCCCCAGTGTTACTTCTATCCTCACCAGTGGAACTTATCTCTTCAACATCAATGTGAAGCTTTCCAGCATCATCTGTCTCAAGCTTCACTCCATCTTCAGCATTGGAATGCTTCTCGTCTTCCTTGACCTCAGAATGCTTCTCAGCATCTTCGGCGTAAGAATGCTTCTCTTCTTCCTTAATCATGGAATGCTTTTCACCATCTTCGACTAAGTGCTGATCTGCGTCCCCTGTTTCATGCTCCTCAGCGTCCTCAGTTTTAGGTTTCTCTACATCCTCCACCTTCGAATGCGTTTCTACATCCTCGACCTGAGACTGTTCATCATCAGTGTGATGCTTTTCCGCAACCTCAGCATTGGGCCGCCTCTGTTCATCCTCAGCTAAAGTCTTCCCAGCATCATTAACTGTGGAATGCTTCTCTCCATCCTCGGTTACTTGCTTCCCAGCATCCTCACCGTTGAGTAATGGAATCCCCTCCAGCTCAGTCGTACTTTCCAAACCATTGTCGACATTGTCCGAGCCTTTGAGTTGATCCTCAACTGTGTGCGTGGTCTTGGACGACACTGTCTCGCCATTTTCAACAACCTGCTCCACGACTGTCACGGACAGATCACCAGCGTTAAGAGAACTTTGGATGTCTTTCTGTTCCTTCCCCACCTCATTGAAGAGTTCCTCCGGACTTGGAAGTGCTGCAACACCCTGCGTCGGCGGTTGTGGTGGACTGTTCATGACTGCTTCCAGCGACTTTACATCTTCGTCTTTCACTACAGTAGTGGGCTCAGAGCTGTCAAGGGTGGTTGACTTGTCATCGCTCTCCACCACTGCCTGCATTGGTGGCGAACTTTTGGATGCATCATTTCCATTCAATGGTGCTTCCAGAGACTTCAGCTGTTCTCCATTACTTTTCTCAGATTTTCCTCCCTTAAGAACTGAGATAATCTTACTCACTAAACTTAAACCGACCACAGTAGCCACTCCAATGACCACTCCTCGCTGAGTACTAAGCCCCTGTTTCCTCCCGCTGCCAAGTCTCCGCTCAGTCTCCATCGCACTTCAACAAAAATGGGAGATCCTCTCTGAGATAAATTACCAGCGGACCTTCCAGGGCAGCCTGACCCACAGGATAGTTGAGTGTGAGATTCGAAGCCTGACGGAGAGGTGATAAAATTATTTCGCGGAGAGTTTCCTTAAGTTTCGGATATCAGAGCCGCACCATTCTGCACAGGACAACAATTCAATTAAAGCCTCGTTCGATAACCTAAACCTCGCTACCTTCATCACCTAAAAATGCTTACGAAGACGAAAGTCCCAAGGCACATTCACAAATTCCCCGCTCCTCTTACCGCACAAACCTCCAGTCCAGTGCAGAGAAGAAAGCCAAACCAAAATGCGCACATACAAAAACGCAGCGCCATCAATGAGGCGAACACATTTGGAGCGACACCGCAACCACAAAGTTTCAAAAAACCACATGAGATTCCTAAACCCAGCACAGGGAACTTACAATCTAACCACACGGAGCTAGTGACGACAATGCCCTTCCACAACGGACTCTCTCAGCCCACACGGTGCGGCACAATGGCCACACAATAATCCTCAGGAGAGAAATCATCACAATCCAGCAGCAAACGTACCTGAGGGGGCGGGGGACTGCGCACAAAGGACTAGGCACAGCGCTCAAGCTCTCCTCAACACGGGATCCATGGAGAGGGGAGAACTGCATAGCAACGAAACCCACAAAGCGATCGATCAATCCATCGACATAGAATGGCAAAGTCAGTGAGTCGCGTGCACAATCTTCGTGTGGCGTCTCATCCACAGAGGTGGAGAGGATACCGGTACTTTGTTGTTTTTTATTTTGTTGTTTTTTGTTTTGTTTTGTTGCTGAGAGATTGGGTTCCAAGGGGATAAGGTGCCCTTCCCTTCCGTAAACGCCAATGCTTCTTCGAGATTCTGTGAGCCCCATCAAATTCCTCTCTTTCGCCTCCTCCTCGTGGATTTTTGGGTTGCGCGTGAGTCTCCGCCGCGGGGGCGTCCCCAGCCTCTCATCGCCCCCTTCGATGCCTGCCACCCTGGCATCCGTGACGTGGCGTATCGTGTGGATTGCTCGTACGCCACGTGGATTATCATCGTACGGTTTAGGGGACTGACACGCGGCGGAAATCGGTCCCAAGGTTCTGGTTTTAGGGTTTGGGGTGTGGATTTTGGGTATTCGAATGGATAAATATCTGGGCATATTTTAGGGGTTTAGGGATTCTTTTTTTGTCTTGCTACTGCGGGGGAGGGGGAGAGTTCTATTCACACCTGACCCATTTTTATAAAATCAATTCAGTATGCTGGAATTGATTTTTGAAGGACTTATTCATTTTGTAAACTTGAAGTGAAATCACGGTGACGATTGCGACACGGCCTTGGGATTCCAACTGCCTATTGAAAAACAAGTAAACTTTTGGTTGTGTTTTACAAGACGATATTTCATATTTTCATATTTAAGATTTTATAGACCGCATTTGAATTTTATTGGACGACAAGAAATGATTGGGATTTGAGTGGTTTGAAAGTGGAAAACCTCTAAAGACTAGAATCTGTAGTACGGATTATTGTGACTACGAATATTCCCTTTTCACACAAGCATAAAAATATTTTATTGATTTGTTTATTTAATTTTGGATAACAATTGAAAATAATCAAAACTACAGACTTCAATTGTATTCTTTGTTTACAGAACAAAATTTAATTTAAGTTAAAGTGGACCTTTTAATGTCATAAATAAATATCCAAAATTTATGTATGCATGTTTATAATCATATTCTATTTTTTAAAAAACCATATTTTATTATACTATATTATGATTGTATATATATATTTAAATATTTATTTATATATTCATAATTATAATTTATTTCCATTCAACTACAAATAACATTTATTTTATTTTTTATTTATTCTTCATACTACATTTAAAAGACAACTCATTATTTCATTAAAACTTAATTTAAATTTATTTCAATTTGTTGGTCTTTTTATAATAAAAGATAAAAAAATTAAGATTATAATACTAAATCATATATTTTTTTATTTTTTTATTCTTATAAAACATTAGATTCTTTCATTTATTTTGAAATACTAACAATATAATGTATATAAATGCATGTATATATATATATATATATATATATATATATATTTATTTATTTATTTTAATAGAAAGATTACAACACCAACTTTTTTTGGGTTTGAATACTACTTAACTTTTATTGAAAACTTCTCTATATATGCAATTCTTTGTCTTTTCCAAAGAAAGAGTGAATGCCTCTAATTTTTTAAGATTTTTTTCATATTTAGATTAAAGTTTAGATAAGATACAAGTTTTGCATCTTCTAATTTGATTATAGAAGAAAGTACCTCTCTTCTAAATTCAATCAATATCTTGCTACTAATGATATTTAATAGCAACTCACCATTGCCTATACTTTGTAGCAAAGTGGTATAGCAAAACATAAAAACTAAACACTCTTCAATGCAATATGGTGTATGCTCCACAAAGCCAAATGAACAAAACCATATTGTAGTGAGGCAGTCACTTGTGTTAAGTACCTTTAGAATCAAAGTCCTACAAAAGCATTTCATTGCAAGAAAAATCAATTCAAACTTTGGTATTATAAAAAAATCTCATATCTTTCACTAACAAGTTTTTTGAAGTAAATGCTTCACTAAGTTCTTGGATGTTATTTGAGTAAAATTTGATAATAAATCTTGTGAATGCATCCTTTTTTGATTATAAATTCTAAAATATTAGTAACAAAATGGATGTTTCTTATAATGTCATGTTTTAGGAAGAACTTATCTATTGTTTTTTTCTTGCTTCTATTGCAAACTTTTAGTCAAACCAATGTTTTTACCAATCAAGTGGCTCTTCACTATCTATTACAATTACTTCAACTTCTGCTTTATATAGTCCACAATTCCACCATCATAACTACTAGGTTCTATATTTTGTAACAAATCATAATTCTATTGTCACATCAACATGTAATTTTACTTCCATAATAATTGCAACTCCATTGTTCTTGCAATCCATGCCCTCTTCTACTTTCAATCAATTGGAGATTGTCCTTCCACTTACAACTACAATTCTTTCAACAATAGCTTTATTTACGCTTATTTTTTATATAAAAAATCCCTCTCGACCTCAAGGCTTGCTAGCAAGTCTATGCAACCTTCCAGCCTTCTCTTCACAACCTCACTTTCTTATGAAGGGTCCTTGTATAGCCAATTCTTTACTTCACTTTAGTTAGTTATTCAATCCATATTTAAGGTTGGATGTGATGCCACATATTTGCCAACATGACTAACTTTCTTGCACATCTTAGCAATCAGCTTCAATTAGTGTTAATACTAAGGACTTTCTTCCATTATTGATTCCACCATCAATACTACTCCAATAGTCCTTTTGTACTACAAAGGATGTGCTTCTTTTTTGTGATTTTGCAAAAAACTATGATATTGCCTTGTTTTAACTTTGTAATGCCATTTCAAGTTTTCTAGCTCCGAACGGGCTTTGTTCATCATAATTGAAGTCTCTCTAAAATCCACAATCTATATCCAAGTAGCAAACTCTCTATATACTTTCTAATGGCAATAAGCTATAGTAGATGAATCCAACTTATATGTGGCCAATAGTACCTAAATTTTCACAAAATTACAATATATCTGCCAACTTATAACTTATAAATGGATTTTAAAAATCAAACTAAAAAGCTTTGCCTAATTAAAATGATTCAAATCAAGATTGATTGCTTGCAAATTCAAGTGGATTTTTGACCTAGATTACAAAAAAAAATAATCTTATTGATTGTTAGCATTTAATCTATTTGATTGTTTCTTGCTATGGTTGTTGAGCTAAATTTACATGTCCATTAAATGGACAATAAGACAATCTTTTTAAATAATTTACTTCAAGATGAGATTTACATAAAGATTCCAAAAGGCGTCACCCTTCCATATCTTAACTTAGTCTATCAACTTCAAAATACTATTTATGACCTCAAACAATCTATCTACAAGTGGTTCAAAGTTATTACTTTATTTCTCACCACTCTTTGATTTATAAATTCAACAACAAATGGCATTGTCTATTACTTTAATTACAACCAAAAATTCTATACTCAAGTTATATATGAATGATATCCCAATTGCAAGTAGCAATTTTCTTCTATTTCAAACTATTAAATACCAACTCTAATCTTTGTTCTTACTATCTGATTTGGATAAAGTACACTACATCTTAAGCCTCTAAGTCACTCACAATCTCTATGTCATGGACATACATTGGAAGATTCTTCGAATATTCTTTTAGAATATTCTCTAAAGATTCTCTAAAGATTCCTTTAGAAGGTTCTAGAAGATTCTTAGAATATTCCCTAAAGATTCTCTTAGAAGGTTCTAGAATATTCTTAGAAGGTTCTAAAATATTCTGATAGATTCTAGGAAGTTGCTCGAGAAGTTTCATAATTAGTAGAAGTTGTTGGAGAAGCGTCCTAGTTAGCGGAAGTAGCTCGAGAAGCTTCCTATTCAGTAGTATATATAGGAGTCGAGGCTGAAGGGTTCTTCAGTCTCGACAACACATCTCTTGGAGTTCTAGCTCACCTTTCTGGTGTTGTTCTTGTACTCATCTGTTTAATCTAGTTCTGCCACTTCTTCTTGAACTTCTTGTTAGATTTCAAGTCTGTATTTTGTGTCCGTGACAGTTTGTCGAGACTGCATTTTCACTGGTATCAGAGCTAGTTCCTTCTTGTTAGAGAGTGGATTACCCCTCTTCTTGAAGGTGTGCTAGTGTTTTAGAGGTTGCGGATTACCCTCCTCTAAACTAATATCTCTTCTTTCTCAATATTGGAGCCTTATTCTTCTTGGAGAGAGTGGATTACCCCTCATCTTGGAGTCTTAAGGCGTTTTAGAGGTTGCGGAGTACTCTCCTCTGAACCAATATTGTCCTCTTGTCAAAACTCTTTTTTCTTCTTTCTGAAGGTTAGCCGAAGGTTAAGACGTTAAAATGGCTGAAAGTTTGGAATCCAAACTAGACGCCATCATAAATGCTCTTACCTTGTTGTCACATAGGACAACAGAGATCGAAGGAGTCATGGTAGGACTCCATAATAATGGAGCATCTGGGATAGCGCCATCTAAAGCATATCAGCCTCAAACTTCTGCGCCAGAAGAAGCAGTTCTACCTCCATTTCAACAAGATCGAGTAGTCCTACAACGAAAGGAGCCTCGAGTTAGTCTTCCGGATAAGTTTGATGGAACTCGTTCCAAGTTTCGAGGTTTTGTCAACCAAATCAGGTTGATAACAATTTTACAGCCCGAACGTTATCCGACGGAGGAAGCGCGTGTTGGGCTTGTTGGAACCTTGCTTACAGCACAAGCTCTGTCTTGGTTTACTCCCTTGTTCGAGAAGCGATCGCCAATCCTGAGCAACTTTGAAACGTTCTTGGAGGCGTTTGCAGAAGCATTTGGCGAGCATGATAAAGTTCGATGGGCTACAACAAAGATCCGATCGCTACGACAAGGAATACGCTCTGCATCAGTCTATGCCTCGGATTTCAGACAATTGGCAAGTGACATTAATTGGGGTGAAGAGGCGTTGGTGAGTCAGTTTTATTGGGGCTTCAAGGATGATGTGAAGGACTTGCTGTTATCTCTTCCTGATCCTCAAACGCTCAACGAAGCTATTAGCCAAGCTGTAAAGTGTGACAACCGCCTATTCCAACGTCGCCAAGACCAACGTCCAAGACACCAAATGACTCGTTACGACGTGACTATGTCTGCAAATAGCTTAAACTCACATTCGGAGGCAACA